ACCCCTTCCTCCTCCTGGGCTGGCCCTGTCACGCCTTCTCAACAGGCGAAAATCAGTCAGAGAGAAACGCGACATTTATGGTAACCGTCAGCCTTCAGAGAAAGAAAGCAGTTCATTAATTTACTTCGCTCTTGCTTCAAAGTATGATAATGTACTGTACCCCCCGATCAATAGATATGATGTACAGTCGATATCCCCTCGGAACAGCTCGAGGGGAAAGGATATCTGCCCCCACGACGCGAACGCACCGCGGGGTTCTCTACTAGAGATCGCGGGCCGGGTCGGGGGCAGCCGCGGCCGTGGGGGGGCAAGGGGAGCCCGGCCCAGAGCTGCGGACGGGGGGAACGGGAGAGGGAGGACTGTGCGGAGGAACCGGAGGAACAATGCTCCCGCGCTCTGCCACCGCTGCGACTGTACAGAAATGCGAACAGATCCAAGCAGCCCCGCTCACACCTCGAAGGGGTGGGAAGGGACGGCCAGGACCAACCAGCCCGAGCGAGGACGGCTCAGGGCCGCCCTTCCCGGGGCTGAGGGGCGAGGGGCGGCGTTCGCTCCGTCGGGGCCTCACGCGGGGCGAACGGCTCCGGCCGCGGGACCGGACCGCGCCGGGCCGAACCGAACCGCGCCGAGTCGAACCGGGTAGAGCCGAGCCGAGCCGGGCCGTGCTCGACGGCGCTGATGACCTCACGCAGTCACGTCGGCGAGCGGCGCGGCGGGGCCGGGGATTGGCTGGCGGCGGCTCAGCGGCACTTCAAAGCCGGCGAGGGAGCTACAATTGTGGTGGAATGGGCGGAACTGAGCATTGTATTGCACACCTCTAAAAAAACACTGCCTCTGATTTATCAATATAAAAAAGATCCTCTGAGAGGAGGGCACTTTTGTGTGATGGCAACTTCACTTCTAGGGGTGAGTCTAAGGATTTTTTCTCTTGCTGGTTTAATTAGTTTCTTTTTATTGTCGATTGGAGGGGGTTAAAATAACCCCTGTCTTGACCGGGGCTATCAGTCTCCTCTATTGAGCCTTTTTTTTTTTTTTTTTTTCCTCCCTTTCTTTTTTTTTTTTTTTTTTTTTCTTTTTTCTTTTTTTTTAACTTAAGTACAAGTGAGTTTCGGAGAAAAGAAAGAGCGAGAGGGGGAAAAGGGGCAGAGTCACTTTGCAGCGCACAGGAAAAGGTTTAAGGGCATTTGTAGGAACAGCCCCCAGCACCCGGGCTGCGCGCTGCGCCCGCACCGCGGCCTTTCTCCGCACATGTTGCTGTTGGAAGGGAAACCCCGGCACCGCCGCTTCTGTAGGGCGCAGTTTCTAATTTGCAACCGAGTGTGGCTTTTTATTTCCCTTTAAAATAACACAGTCCGCCGTGTCCAGCAGGTATGTTCAACTTGTGTATACGTACAGATGTAAAATTTATGTATATATTTAGTTACGGTTGGTACGTGAGGCTCTTTAAGGAAGCCTTTTCAATTTATTTTTAATTATTTATTTGATAAGCCGGCGCTTCACTACTTACGAACCACCCCATCTGCCCCGAGGACCGGGAAGCGCCGGGTCCCGGGAAGGGGAACGGCACGAACGCAGCCGCCGCTGGGCTGGTGGCAGCTTTTAAGCTATATCAAAGCTGCGGCACCAGAAGCAACTTTTCCCTCCCCCTCTCTTTCCTCCGAGCTCCCGGGGCAGGAGGACCGGCAGCAGATCCGCGGGACTCAGGGCCGGGCCGGGGCGGCGGGCGGGCGGATGGCGGTGGCGGTGCCGCTCGGTGCCTGACGCCGGCGGGACGCCCCCGTCCCCTCTGTGCCCGCAGGAGGAACCGCGGGTTGGCTCCACGCCGCTGGCCATGCTCGCCGCGACCTGCAACAAGATCGGCAGCCCCAGTCCCTCGCCGTCCGCCCTCTCGGACAGCGCGTCCTCCTTCGGCAAAGGCTTCCACCCCTGGAAACGCTCCTCCTCCTCCTCTTCGGCCTCGGCCGGCAGCTGTGGTGCCGTGGGCTCCGGCCTCCCGGGCTTCGGCGTGGCGGGCGCGGCGCGGAACGGCTCCTCGGCGGCGGCGGCAGCGGCGGCGGCGGCGGCGGCCGCGCTCGTCTCGGACTCGTTCAGCTGCGGCGGCTCTCCGGGCTCCAGCGCATTCTCGCTGACGTCCAGCGGCGCGGCGGCCGCCAGCTCGCCCTTCGCTAACGACTACTCCGTGTTCCAGGCTCCGGGCAGCGCCGGCGGTGGCGGCGGCGGGGGAGGCGGCGGCGGCGGGGCGGCGGGGCAGGAGTCGGCTCACCAGCCCGTCTTCATCTCCAAGGTGCACGCGTCGGTGGAGGGGCTGCAGGGCATCTACCCGCGGGTGGGCATGGCGCACCCCTACGAGTCGTGGTTCAAGCCCTCGCACCCGGGGCTGGCGGCCGGCGAGGTGGGCTCGGCGGGCGCCTCCAGCTGGTGGGACGTGGGCGCGGGTTGGATCGACGTGCAGAGCCCCAACGGGGCGGCCGCGCTGCCCGGCTCGCTGCACCCCGCGGCCGGCGGACTCCAGTCCTCGCTGCACTCGCCGTTGGGCGGCTACAACTCGGATTACTCGGGCCTCGGGCACTCGGCTTTCGGCGGCGGCGCCTCCTCGCACCTCCTCAGCCCCGCCGGGCAGCACCTCATGGACGGATTTAAGCCGGTGCTGCCCGGCTCCTACCCAGACTCGGCCCCGTCGCCGCTGGCCGGCGCCGGGGGTTCCATGCTGGGCGGCGGCCCCGCCGCGCCGCTCTCCGCATCGCCGCGCTCCTCCGCCCGCCGCTACTCTGGCCGCGCCACCTGCGACTGCCCCAACTGCCAGGAGGCCGAGCGGCTGGGGCCGGCGGGGGCCAGCCTGCGGCGCAAGGGGCTGCACAGCTGCCACATCCCGGGCTGCGGCAAGGTGTACGGCAAGACGTCGCACCTGAAGGCGCACCTGCGCTGGCACACGGGCGAGCGGCCCTTCGTCTGCAACTGGCTGTTCTGCGGCAAGCGCTTCACCCGCTCCGACGAGCTGCAGCGGCACCTGCGGACCCACACGGGCGAGAAGCGCTTCGCCTGCCCCGTCTGCAACAAGCGCTTCATGCGCAGCGACCACCTCAGCAAGCACGTCAAGACCCACAGCGGCCCCGGAGGCGCCGGGGGACCCGGCGGCGGCGGTCCCGGTCCCGGCCCCGGCGGCAAGAAGGGCAGTGACACCGACAGCGAGCACAGCGCGGCCGGCAGCCCGCCCTGCCACTCCCCGGAGCTGCTGCCGCCCCCCGAGCCCGGCCACCGCAACGGCCTCGAGTGACGGCGGCGCCGCGCAGCGCCGTGCAGGGGACGCGGACACGTAAGTACCCGCGCGGCCCCGTGGGGAGCGCGCTCCGGCCCCGCACCGCACCAGTCGGGCGGCGGAGCTCCGCTGGGGGCCGCCTCCCCTGCCCTCTCCGTTCCTTAGGGACCCCCTGTCGGGTCGCACCGTGGGAAAAGTCACGTTTCTCCCGCTGGAAACCGCAGCACTTCCGTCCGGGAGCGGGTCCCGGGGCCGCGGTCGCGCGCTTCCCGTGGCGGGGGCTCTGCGCCGGGCTGCGAAAGCAGCGCCCGCCGTCGGTTCTCCTTCCCGTCGGGACCGCTCTCGTCTCGGTGACTGCCAAAAGCCCCCGGAGACCGCGGAGACACGGTGCTCTCCCTTCTTTTTTTTCCCCCCCTTTCAGTCGTTTACCTCCCCGCATCCAAACGTTTTTGTGTTTTCCGGCGCATTTGGATCATTCCCGCTTGAGTGGGAATCGCGAAACCCGCTGGCAATAATTAGGTTTCAAGTCCCCTATTTTTAAACCCCGTAAAAATAAACACAGCGTTGGTTGTGAGCGGAGCTGCGGTTCAAATGCCAAAAAGAGAGAGGCTGGGGTGGGGGGGGGGGGAGGACAGGAAAGTGGAAAGTGAAATATTTGTAAAATACATCAGAACCTCTAGGTTTGTACCATGGGGAATCATTCTAGATTAGTAACAATGACTCCACCAACGTATCGGTGTGAGGTGCAGTTGTCCAGGAGACGATTTGTATAGTATTTTTCTTGTACATTACTTCCAGTAAATATTTGGAAATATATTGAAGTACACTCGAGATTATTTTTTTTTTTTAAGTTTTTATTTTATTTTATTTTTCTAAATATTTCTTTTTCTGCCACGAGAAAGCATTACCAGTGCAGCCCTCCTCAGTTTTATTTCTGGACTCATTTCCTGGAGTGTCCATCAAAGCGCATTTCAGGATATAGGTTTTGCTTGAATATTAATTTAGGTAGGCATACAACTGTAATTAAGCAAACAATATTTGATAAATGTTGAATGACATTTAATTTAATGGAGCATGTACTTATTTGCATTTGCTGGCAGTTCAGGTATAGTCACAGTGAGAGTTCTCCTCTAGTTCCTGAAGTGGGTTTGCCACGACCCATGTATTAATAAACTGTCCGAGTGAAACTGAACTAACGTTGGCCTATGTGTATTTCCTGAAAATAATATTGATAAATGTTAATAAACACTCCTGACACCACATTAGCGGTTTGCCCTGCTGCAAACTAATTGTCTCATTGTAATGTTGAAATAATTTGGATATTTCACATTGAAATGGAAAGCCCTTCGCTGGAACATTTTAGATTTGCATTTTAAATGCATGAAATGTAATTGATTTTTATCTGTAATATTTTAAATGGTATTAATAAACTCCAGAGCGAACATTCTATCCCAGGCAGCTCTTTGCTTTCCTTCTTTCTCACTCCACCGTCGTGGGCAGTGCTGTGCTCTGAGCCCTATGGCACACACAGTTCTCAGAGTTTCTTCCAAAGGGGAAACTCAAGGAACTGAAAGCCGCTGTAGGCTGTGCCACCACTGGGGCAGCACCAGGAGTGTGCTGGCATTCTGCTTGGCACACTAGGAGAGGAAGCTAAAGAAAAAGCAGCAACACTGCTTTCATCTTTCTTTTTTTTTCTTTCTTTCTTTCTTTCTTTCTTTTTTTTTTTTTTAATTTAATTTTCAGAATCATTTCTCACATTGAGAAAGGCCAATGCGATGTGGGAATTCGAATGATAATTATTTCTTTAAAAAGAGCTTGGTGGCTCTATACTTGGAGCCAGGTTTGGGTGGTCATGGGCAGAGCTGTGCCATGTGGACTGGTGACTCCCGCAGCCCCAGTGGGACAGACAGGGGGTTTGGGACGTTTTGGGTTGCCAGGGTGGGGTGTCTGGCATTATCAAAGCACTTCCTGAGCTGGGAACAGAGGTGCAGGGGAGTGGGGAGTTAAATCTGCCACCTCCTGCTTGATTGGGAAGCGTTGTCTTTGTGTTTTCGCCTTGAAGTGAATCTCAAGAGCATTACATTAGCACCTTGACATCAGGGAGAATATGTCATTCCTTTGGGAAATGTGGCCCCTCATGTTGCACACTATTGGTGTGCTGAGAGATTGGGGTTAGAGCCTAAAATTGGCATAGAAGAAAGATCTTTGTGTGGACACAGGGAAGCACATTCCTGTGACAGCCCTACAGCAGCATTAAAACATGTAGCAAAAGCATGCAGGGTGCTTGGCTCCAGTGCACTTGGGCTTGGGAGCTATGAGTGTTATAAGGCTTGGAAGGGACTTTTAAGGTGCATTGGAACCGGAATTTGCTCTGCTTGAGTTTCTCTGAGCTGCATTCTGAATGTGTGTCATTACAGATGCAGCCATCGGGGGCCTGCAAAGTTTTCTACGAAAGCAAAGCAACAGTTTGCTCTGCATTTTTTCCTCTCTTTACTATTATCATTACTAATTTAATGTTGTGGAAATGCAGCCATGTACCAGCACCAGATTCCCATTGTGGGAGTGAGAAGCACTGTTGCCTGCTACTTTATTCCTTATGGGCACCAAATGAAAAGGAAACAGACGAATGGCCCCAGTGCTACTTCTCCAATATCCCCTCTGAAGGAACAGCCACTAAATGCCACCGGCTGGGAGCCCAGTTCTCTGTTTTGGAGCAGTGGCAAACTCATCCTTCCAGGGAAGGAGCTGCCGTGTTTCTCTGGGATCTGTAAGAACACAATTTTTTTCTTTCTTTCAGCAGCAGAGCCCGGCACTTGAAGATTGAATAGCTCCTTTTGGTCATTTATTTCCTTTTACTAAACCCCTCCAGATAAGGGCATTGAGCTGTTTGATAGCAGCCGGGAACTTGTCTGGCTCTGTGTAGATGAAGGTAGAGCTAAACCAGTTTGCTGACCTGTGGGTCAAACTGGCGTCCATCATCGTACCTTCCAGCCACCCGCTGGTGATTGTGGCCATTTCCATTTGCTCTCTGACCTTTTAAGTCTCTCTCCTTCAAGCTCGTAGCAATGTCTATCAAATTTTGCGCCCCGTTTTCCCATGATTCTGCCTTTTCATTGTCATTTTCCTGTTTAACTTTTCAGTAGACCAGAGACGGGAGATGCACACAATCGGAGCTATTCACAGCATTACTTCCTCCCTGCTCGGTGCCTTCCACACCACTTCCAGCCTGAACCGGGACCAAGGGCTGCTGGCTTTTTCTTTGCCTCCAGCCTAGGGCTGCAGAAGTAAAAGACTACACCCTGAGTTTGTGAATGTAGTGCTCAATCCAGCCCCAGCCCCTTCCCAGCTGCAAAGGTGCTAAATGTGGCACAGCCGATCTTTCAATCTCAAACGCTTACAGGTAGGCACTTGCCAAACCCTGCCATGCTCCAGTTGCATTCTATGGAGTGACCTCTGCTTCAGCTATGGGAAGAAGGAGGCAGAAAAAGGTGTGAACAGATTGGGTGTGTGGCTGTGCACACTCCCACGAAGTGTGGTAAGAGGTCCTCTTTTGCTGCACAGGAGCAACCTCACCTTTCTCAGTGTAAATGTTTTCTCAGCTTGCTCCATTGCAGCTCATTGTTCTAAAGATATATATATATTAGATCCTCAGTGTTTATGTGGAGAAAAGCACATAACTGATTTAACACCGAGTTTTTGACTGTTTGAGTGGTAACTTTTCCAGGTAGCTGGTTATCTCGAGCTTGGGTGGATGGGGAAATTGTTACATCTCAGAAAAGTATGCATGGAGAAAACCTGTGTTGCTGAGGAAAATTCCTGCATTTCCAGTTCTGTGGTTCTCTAACTGCTGCTTGAAATGATTCCTTTTTTTCAGAATGGCATTAGGGAAATAGCAGCAAGTGATAGGAGCTTTACCGGAGCATTCTAAATGAGGAAACTCCATTTTATAATTGTAGAGTTTGAAACAAACCAGGAATCTGCCTTTCTCTTCAGACAGTGGACAGTCCCCTAGAGCTCTGTGCTCGGAGTGCTGCAGCTGCCGCCGACGGGTGACGGGCATCTCTCGTGGGAGTCACCTGCGGCTCAGCACTGCGACATTCCCGGCTTTCAGACTGCGAAAAGCAAAACGCTGCCGCGGAGCGTTCGCAGGTGCAAAAGTCGACGGCTCCAGTGTGCAATGCTGCGGGATGGGGCAGGAGGGACAAGCACTGTGAGCAGAGGTGACACGGAAACGTCGTTCCCGGGTGGAGAAGGAACACAGCATGGGCGAGGCCGGGAAGCACCTCTGGAACAGTTTTTGCTGTCGGGGAGCAGGAACGCCACAGATTTCTTTAGAAGGTGGGCGGTGGGAATTTGTTTTCTTATTTTGTCGTCAGCGCTCTGGGACAAGCGGCTGCGCTCAGCTGTGCCCCCTTAAATCGGGGGCGAGCGAGCTGCCCCGCATCCCACCTCCAGTCCTTTCGCTCCGCTGCCCGGCTCCCCTCCTGTCCGACCCCCGGAGCTGTGCCGCAGGCTCGCAGCGCCCCCCGGTGTGTGCTCTTCGGCGCGGTGACCCCGGGGGTGATCCTTTCTTGCCCGAACTCCTTCGAGGATAACGCTGCGTGTTCATGGGGCAAGCAGCTGCTACGGGCAGAGAGGCCTCTTGGAATCTGTGGGTGTCACCTGGCAATAAGCAAGACCGGGGAGAGGAAATAAGGGAGGTGCGGGGCAGCTGACAGGGTGGCAGGGGCTTCTGTGAAACTCACATGTGCCATATAATGCGAAGTTGGAAGCAGTGTTTTTGTGAGTTACGGTGCAGAGAAATGCTTCAGCACACTGTGCACTCAGGGAGCAGAGTGTATTCCTCCTGCCTGTTAAGCAGAGTGTATCCCTGTCTACACTGAACACTGCTCCTGAGCTCTGCAGTCTTCTTCTAAAGCTTTTTTTCTTCATCATCCTCTTCTTCTTTTTAAGAGTATACCTTGTTATTAAATATTCTTGTGGGCAGTCGATCGGAAGAGGGCTGAGCACGGCTGGAATGTCTCCCCCTGCTTTGCCAGCTCTTGCCTCTCCCAGTTTTGCCATCCCCTGAGATTTGCATTGTGGAGAAGTACAGTGGAAGGGCTGCATTGAGCAAAGGCAAAAGGGAAAGGTGAAGAGAATACTTTCAGGAGTGTAAACAAGCATTAATGCTGCTGCTTTCCTGACCCCAAATCCAAGAGTCCATGGTCAGGTTTTAAACTAAGGAAAGAAGTTGTGATGCTCAGAACTGCATCAGAACAGCTTTTTCCTCTGTGCTGGTTCCCCTTGCTGCACACTCCTCACATGCTTTTAACCCCTTGGTCTCCTCCCCTGCAGACTTCAGAGATATATTTTCTTCCTCTAATGATCATACCTGAGTGTCAGATCTATATGACAGAAAACAAGACTGAGGATTTTTCTTCTCTGTTAAAGTAGTCCTGGAGTGAAGTTGCTGCCTCTCCCTGCAGACCTCGTCTGTTGCAAACAAATTCCTGCACAACATTCCCTTCTCACAGCCTCCAGATGAGTGCCATGCTGCTGGCAGAGCTGACAAGCTGCTGATGTTTGCCTGTAGCCATTGCCAGTTTTCTCCAAATAGATGAACTACTCTCAAAGTGAAATCCCTGAAAAGCCCCAGGGGTGAGGTATTGATATAGGCAATGGAAACAGGCTATCTCAAGGAGGGAATCCCAAATTGGTAAGAAATTGGTACTCAGAATGGCAGTAAGAGCCAATATCACTGTCTGCTGTGTGTGTTTGCTTTGGGTACTGCAAATCCTGCCACTCTGAATCAGAGTTTAATTTGCTCATCCAAGAAGAAAGCTGAACAGGAAAAAAACTTGTCAAACACAGCATACCATTGCTCACTGTGCTGCATGTGGTGACACACTGCTAATCCCTCATAGCCTCCTCTGCGCTGGGACAAACATATCTCAGAGGGCTTCAGGGCAGGACTTCTCTGCAGGGCATAGGTATCTCTTACACATATAGTGACACATCCTCTGCTCAGCAGTAAGTGCAATTTGTCGGTGTCACGCTCTCCTCCTGGGATCTCCAGCAGTCTGCTGCTCTGACGCCCACCTTGACACTGGGTCACATCTATTGCACACCTACAGCACATGACGCACAGAGCCATTGACCTGTGGGAACAGCTGCAGTCAGCTTCCTCTTTAGCCAAGCACAGAATGTTTGGAAGGATGAATGAGTTGAAAACACATGAAAACAGCATGTATTTGTTAGGAAAAAAAGTTTTAAAAGCTCTGTGATCTCTGAAAGACTTGGATCCTGGAAAGCCTGCACTTGCTGAGGGCACCATTTTAAATGTAGGTGTGATATATTTGTTTCTAGTCCTGCCTAATTCTTTCTCCTTTCTTCCTTAACAACACAGAAAAGCCAAAAATCAGTCTGACCTGATGCTATACGTAGATGAAAAAATATGCACTTCAAAACTGTGATGTGGAGATTGCCTCTGTTCTAAATAACCACTGTGTGCCCAGTTACAAAACACACGGTATGTGAGAGTTCCTAATATTTTATAGATGTTAAATCACCACCTGGCTAGTATTTACATTCATGTCAGGCCCTGCTAATTTTCACTCATTGTGGCAGATATTAGTTTTTCTTTTCTCTCACTTTATGAGTCAGGTAAGAAAGTTGATGGATTTCTAATAATCAGCTGAGGTGCTAAGTTTGCACATATCTTTTTCTCACCTCTCTGCAACTCAGTATCCCAAGGTAATTTCTATTCAGCACCATGACGTGTCAGAGAGTAGATGTAAAATGTCTGTTATAAATACGTCCAAGCTGAAATAAAGATAAGAATGAAAGATTTTCCACCTTTGGCCTCAGCAATTTCTATTCTTAAACATTCTGTTGGCAGATATTTCCTGTTTTCAGTAATACTACGTAACATAGTTGCAGGCAACAGGAGAAACTGATAACGCTCTTTAGGCGTGATAGGCTACCAAAATTCAATACTTTAAAATTAAACTTAAAAAAACCAAAAGATGAAAACCAAGAATCAACTATGGCCAATTGTCTTAGTTGACTTTTTTTTTTTTTAAGGTGGTATTTCTCTGTTTTGTTTTGATTGATTGTGCAATCTCATAGCAAAGAGACAACTTTGTTTTGTAATTTAATTGCTGGCTTGCTACCAAGATGGTGATAGCAGAATTAGCAGAAGTTTAAAATAAAATAAAGAAACTGAAGAAAATATTCTCATTGTCATTTCTCACTGTGTAAATGGTGGGAGTGAAAGAAAATAATTTTCAGTATTTTGTAAAATTCTCAATGAATTGCAATTTCTGATTTTGTTCCAAGCACACATTTCACTGTCTGCAATGTGTTTAAAATAAGATATCTGAATTTTGTCATTTGGCAACGGGGTAAAGTACACTTGTAAAGCCAGATTTTGTTCAAGAAACCTATGTTACAAATACTTTCATATAATTTATCGTGTTTCTACAGGCACAGAAGGCATTGCAAAGCAATAACTGCATCTGCTAGATACATTTTTTGGCACAGAACTTAGCCACACCTCCCCTGCTAGTAGGAGTCAGACTAAATCTGATACTCATCCCTTACCCCACCTCTGGCCTGACTGTTTTTACTTTTCTAAATTGAGCTGTGCTCAGCCTTTATGGTAAATGTTTCCTTCTCAGTGAAATGGTGATGTTACAAAGGCTTCGAATGAGCTGAAAATTCTGTATGATCTCAGACTGCGCCTTTGTGGGAAGGTACTCAGCAGGTGGGAGAGGCAGGGAACTTCCTTACAAGTAGATCTGAAGGCTGCGTTTGCTATGCTGCATCCCCTGCCAGCATGGATTTCTCTATTTGATATTTCAGTGCCTTATGAAGCACAACTTGTATTCCCAGAAAGCAAAATACTAGCAGAGAAGAAGAACAGGATACACAATGTGGGCATGTGGCTGCTGCCAAACCTGGCGTGCACAGGTAGGCACTGCACTTTAAAGGACCAAGCGCCTCTATGAGATCTTCCGCATGCCCTCAGGCTCAGTGTCACCCTGCCGGGTCCCTCCCCAGCTTGATCCTGTCAGTGTACTTCTAGTACTACCTTTGTACAGGGTTCAAGTCCCCATGTAATGTGCAGGAAATCCCCTTTTATGAGAGGAAGGGGAGAGGAGGAAGGGACAAGAGTAGGATATCTGCCTTTCCTACAAGATTACTATGTAAGTGCCTGGAACCCCATTTGGAGGATACATGCAGGGTAGAACTGATGGCAGTCAGAGCAGAGGTGCCTGAGCCAAGGGAGAGAATTTCAGTCACATTGCCCCCAGGCATTATCTGAACAGGTAAATGCACATGGGTAAATCAGATGGTGTTTCATTCCTCCTGGATTTGTGCCAATCAAAGATTTGTATTTCTACAGAGATGTAAACTCTGATGAAAGCTTCTTCTCTGTGGGAACACTTACACAAACTGCTGAGCTATGTGGACAGCCTAATGTGTAACCAGATGTCAGCTGGGTCTTCTCTTTAATTGGAAGACAATAGCAGTCTGCACTACTGAGCTGCTGAGTTTTTAATTTTTAGAAAGCTGATTGCCTCTCAAATCAGCCAACCAATAGGAGAGATCCTGTGAGGAGAGGTTTGTGGGCAGACTGGCAGTTTGATCAGATGAGATGTTTGTTTCCTTAAGAAATGGCTTCAAAACAGAAACAAACTTAAGTGGGCATATACATCACAGGCAAGCTCTGATCCATACATTTTTGGTTAGTACAAGAACATATCACAGGTATGGCTAAAGACTGCCTGCTCTCGTGAGGCTGCAACCATCACTGACCAAAACTCATTCTCCTGATGCATAAAGCTTGTCTGTATTACTGAGGTAATGGGATGAAGGATTCTAATAAAGATAATCAGGAGAAAACTGTAGCATATCTATCCGGGACTCTTAACATTAAGTCATTAACAAAAGACAGTTCAATGGAGAACCTGGTGCAAAATCACTCACCATCTACAGTGGACATTATTTTTCTTAGAAGGTATTGCCTTACAAACTAGTTGCCATGCATGGCATTATTCTGGAATACTTCTTCTCTGATAAAGTTGTCATCACGTTTTTCCAAGCTGATAGAAAGTTAGATGTCACTTCTAACACATGAGAGGGAATCTCACATACCACAAACCCTGCCTCTGGCCCAGCTGCATTCTTCCCTGGGTTGAAGCTTGAGTGCAAAATCATGATGGTGGTAGCATTCTGTGTGGCAGTGTGGAAAGAATCGTATAGAGGGTGGATTCAGGGCTGTTCTAAAGAGACTGTCCCACTGAGTAAGGTGCAGCTCTGATCATCCTTTCGAGCCAGTGTTCATATTTTTACAGTTTTTTCCATTCAAAAATTTCAAAGTGTACTTTCTGAAAGTAAAACTAAAGCAAAGCTGAGGCAGCAAGCTAAAAATCACAAACTCTGCAATGCTCTGAATATTTATGACTTTCTTGTTTTTCTTATACAGAAAGGTTCCTTTTAGCAACAGTAGACACATTAGACACACTAATTAAGTCTATTAGTAGCATGGGGAGACTATTTAAAGACTTCAGACAACACAGAACTGGGTGCTCAGGTCAATACTGGTCCTGTCCACTATAAGATATAAAGTTCATAAAACAGACTACATCAGTCTGGAAAAATCTCAGGTGAGATTACTACTATCACAGTAGGTGTCTGCTTGAGGATTTAAGCAAACAAACACCTTTCATACAGGCACATTCATTATTTTTCCCTGAATTATCTGAGACAAGTTGGAACAAGTGAGGAGGACAAGAGCATGGAGGGCCTCAGCGAGCAGCAGCATCTTCTTGCAGGGTAAGTGACTGCCCCAGTTGAAGGTTCCCAAATGATTCATGTTTTGTGTTTCCTTTTCTGAATTTGAAAACATAAGTCATATTTCCAGCTAGACCTCCAATTCCCTAAGCTGTCGCATGTAGTAGAAGTATTCAACACCATGCAAACAGGCGTCCAAATGCTTCTGATGCTCTCATCTCACACCCCAAAGCAAAGGAATGCTTACCAGAGCACAGTGTCAGGTGAAGAGACCAAAGGAGATGACCAAGGTAACTGAAATTCAGAACTGGATAATTTTTACTGATGAACTTATTACAGTAAAATGAAACACTTAGAAGCTTAGCTGTAAGAAGTAGAAGTGAAATAGAAACTTATTTTTGAGAAATGCAATGTATCTACTGAGATGGGATGCAAGCCCGTCTCTCAGTAGCATTTTTCCATTCCATCCTGTCTTTCATTTCCCTCTCAAAAGAATAGTTGTTTGCATCTGTGTGTATCATCATCTACAGATTGTAGAGGGCAGTCTCCTGCCCAGCGTTACTGTTGGGATGCCCTGCTCTCAGCAGTGTCTGCTCTTTTGTTCATGTCCAAACATAAAGGACTTCACACCAAAAGAAGACATGGATCTTTATCATGAAACTCAAAGCATGCATAAAAGGCAGTACAGAAATCTGCTGCAGAATTAGACCTTGGGATGAAGCAAAGAAGAGGCATAACTAAGTCGGAAGACAGGGATGATCCAAACAGTAAAATTGAGTCAGAACAAGAAGTTCAGATAATGTCCACCTCCAGTGTATAAAGACAGGCGAGTATGTCACAAAAAACTTGTGGTAATTGAAATTTATATAGTTTTAAAAAACTTGCCTTGTCAACAGACACAGATTGTGTCTCTTAGTCTGGATACTAGTTAGGAGGAAACTGAAGAAAAATGTAGAAAAAATAAGAAGAACTTGGTGAATGAACAATTAGATGCAGAAAAGCAAGATACAGTGGTTACATGTGAAGTATTTTTTTGGAAAAGGAATGGTTCCTTCAGTTTTTGAGAACGAGTGTTTGTAAACTTGGCTGAAATGAGCCAAGTTCAGATTCAGAAAGCTTTCTCTATGGTGATAACCATTTAGTGAAATTAAAGGAACAAATTGTTGGAATCATCACCAAAGCCTACATTGAAACTTATGCTAATAATGATTATTTAATCTTTTAAAAATATTATTTTTTCCTGAAGGAAATAAAATGCAGTCTAGGCATGAGTTTAAGAAACTCCATATAACCATGATAGAGGTAATCTATTTTTGAATCTGTGGAGATAAACCATCAAGAGGTTAGCCTAAAAATTATCTGATTGCTGGAGGCTTTAGGACACTTTAATTTATATTTATCATTCCACACTCTGTGAAAGTTGGACTAGGCCAACCCTCAACTCCTGGTTCTGTTTTGGTGAGTTCTGCCATCACACTATGCCGGGATATAATTTGAGTAATTAGTTTTAAGTGGGATATTTATTTACTCTTTCATGTTTGCATAATAAAATTGAAATTTATTTAACTTATTCCTTGATCATTAGGTGAAAACCTATAGTTCCAGAAAAAAAAAATTTTGGCTAGTTTTGTCGATTAATTAATTTAATTAATGAAAATAAAAGTGCTGACTTCTGCAGAACTTTGTTTTATTGTTGGTGGAGAATCACATTTAGCTTTCGTTTCGAACCTGATTCATGGCCTACTGAAATTTATAGGAGCCATTCATTAAGCATAACAGGCTTTGGAATGGGTCCCTTGTGAAATGGAGTGTTCAGATGAGAACAGATGCAATCATCTTTGGGTTTTTAAATACTAAAGCTTGAACTTCAGTTGTTTTCATTCACATGAAAGTGCACTGACTTATCAGAAGTAGTTTTAACCATTAGATGTATCTACCTACTAATTTTCTATTACTTCCCTATGAATCCTTCCTGACAGCAGATGCCCAAATGGAATTTCACAAAAGTTTTCCCTGATTGTGGTTATTATTCAATATTTTCATTAATGACCTAGAGGGGAAAAATGAGGGGAGTTTGCTTATTGAATGATATTGTCTGGAAATTTAATCTCTAGAAGGAGTGAAGGACACAATTAGAATTGAAAATGATCTTGAATAACCAATAAATTCTCAAAAAAATAGGGTGATATTCAAGTGGGAGGAATTAAACTCAGTGGGGAATTACCAGTTGCACAAGCACAGGCTGGGGGATAACCACAGTAACTGACCAGGTGACATTTTTATGGAAAGGAATTTATGAGCTCACAGCTGATCAAAATCTTAACACAAGTCAGTAATGTCATGATGTTGAAAAAAAAAAAAAAAAAAAAAAAAAAAAAAAAAAAATACTCCTGAGATACACTAAGAAAGAGTAGGATAGGATACGAGATACAGTAAGCACAGTAAGTAAATCTGCTCTACTCAGCAACCTTTTCAGCTTCAAGGAGAATGAAGATCAGATTGCTGATGGTTAGGCACTTTCAGCACTGGAAATCCAAAAGAGCTATTTGAACAAACATATTTCATGAATAACACTGCTATGGCTGATCTCATCCTGGGGCTGAAGATAACCAGTTTGTCCCTCTTGAGTGTCTTCCAGCTTTGTATAAAGTGGGGTATACCAGACAAAAGTAAATTCCCTGCTTGGAGAATACAGTTCCATGACCATGGGGGGGGGGGGGGGGGGGGAGGGGAAATAAAAAAAAAAAAAAATCAAGCTCTTTACTTTGAGCAACTCTTTTTCAGCTTTCTCTTGCTGATGGTGATGAATGTTAGTTTTGACAAATACCGCTAGAGGCTGTCTCATATTCTTATATATTTCAGGCCAAATTCAGGGAAATGTTGTTCAGTAACTTTTCTTTACATCTAAGATAAAATGTATAAAATTCAGATTTAATGTTTTTTGTCTCAGGCTGTTTGAACTTTTTCTGACTTAGGAAAAACAATCTTTTTCCTAAAAGTTTTCTAAAAGTAAATGTTCCTGCATTCCTTATTAATTTCAAATGGTAACATTTTGTGAATATCTTCACTCTTCTATTATCAAACAGTGTAAAATGAGAGCACCTCACTCTATTACACGCATTATACTTTGGTATACTGCAGATCTATCCTTACCTGAGAAAACTGTAGGTCTGGCTTTGGCAATCTACTTGTAGGTTTAATATGTCAAGTGAGATGGGCCTGCCTTTCTCAGCTTTATGTAGTATGAATTTGTTAGAGTTGAGCAAATGCCTTTAGATCCATCTGCCTGAACTCCCAACTGAGGTGTGTTTGACAAAAGCTGGTTAGAAACATCTCATATACCATTACTTATATATTTCAGTCAAGTCCATTCTTTATTAAACAAAGACATAGAGATTGTTTAATCATAAGAGTTTCAAAGATCTTTAATGCTTTGCCACATTTTTTTTTTTTAAATGAATTCCCAGTTTCCTAAGCCCTTGCTAGAGTCAGAAATGGCAATAAAATATTTACAGGAAAAAAGTTATATACACATGTAGCTTAAATAGTACTGTGGGTCAGATGGTAAATGAAAAACTGAAGTCCTTCCTTTGATTTTCCAAACTACCAGCACAATTGTGACCTTCATGGAAACAGTGGTGAATCCCTTTGTGCATTGAAGGATTCAGCAGAAAAAGAGAAAACCTCAGAGAAACCTAAGCACTTATGTAACCTGTTTTTTTTAGAAATTTACCAGTTTGCCAAGAATACTTGTTTTATTAATATTTCATATTTTCTTGGCAATGAGGGATACTATGCCTCTCTGAGAGGGATCTACTATGGGTATCTAATTGTAGGGCACTTTGTCTGAAACAGTAAATCCAACTGAATTCTCTAAAAGGGATTTGTAGCAGTTTAAGTTGGAACTGAAAGTTGTTAAAGGACAGAATATTACCTTACATTTCAGCTGAGCAGATTTTGTTCTGAAATCAGAACAAAATATTTCACAAGTTTTAATCAGTTTAATTTGAGCTTCTAGGCCTGTCCCTGTAGCATCGAGAGCTCAGTTTAATGATTTAAACCACCTCTTACAAAAATTAACATAACACCTAGAACAACAATTTAAGATTATACAGCTAATTAATTATTTTTGTTCCTGTTGGCTCCAATGGAGTCTGCTTAGTTGCATATTTTATGGAGTAGGAAAAGATGGGGTAAGCACTTGAGTGAAAAGCTGAAAAATTATCTACAGCCCACATTCATATTCAGCTCAATATAAAAAAGTGTGTATTTATTATCTGAAGGCAAGAACACTGATCAAGTTAAAAGACTGCTAGTCCTACATAGGACTAATGTTTTAGAAAAAACACACCAGGTTCAGGTCAGATATCACCCTTCTGATACCAACTGCACTTTCTGAATTTTTTCCTCCTGACAGCTCATTTCTAGAAGATCTCAAGCTGTGATGCTCTATGACAATGTTTGTGCATTTACTAGATTAAAACATACTCCCTATTTTGTCATCACCAATGGAATATTTCTATTATTTTTCCATTGGCAGCAACCATAGAATATCTACTCTGTGTTGGTGATGGTCCATAAGTGGTTGTAATACAGTTGCTTCCATTCTGGGCCCTAGCAAGAGCTTGTCCCACCACCTGAAGAAAAATCAGAAAAGTTCTGTGCCTATCTGGTTAGCTAAGAGAAATGGTTTTAAAATCCTCCAAAATGCAACTCTAGATATGCAAATTGAGGCAGATTAGGCTGGTAAGATCTATTTCTACAAGTCCATGTGTAACACCTCTGCCAATTACTAAATAAGGAAATAAAGTGCTTTTGGAAGTCTGTTTTACTAAACTGGGGACCTTGATGCAATGCCTGTTGCACAAAGTCTTGGTGGAAACAAAGTCTTTAGAGCTACAAGACTATCAGAGGGCTGAAGCAGCTTTAAGACAACAGAATGAGGGACTGAGGTTTAACTTGAAGAAAAGGGTCTGGGATGTCCTCACTGCTGCCTTGCCGTACTGGAAGGGAGGTTACAAGCAAAAGGGGAACCAACTTTTTACATGGTCTGATTGTGATAGCACAAGGGGGGAATGGCTTAAAACTAGAAGAGGGAAAATTCAGGTTAGAGGTTAGGAAGAAATTCTTTACTCAGAGAATGGTGTAACACTGGCACAGGCTGCCCAGACAAACTGTGAATGCCTCATCTCTGGAGGTGTTCAAGGCCAGGTTGGATGAGGCCTTGGGTAGCAACCTTGCTTATGACAGGGGGCTGGAATTAGACAGGGTTTAATGTCCCTTTCAACCTAAGCCATACTATGATTCTATGATTCCACGTGACTCTATCAGTGTTCAACTGAAGTAAAGCTGAGGTGCATAGAGGGCACCAAACTGTATCAAAATAAGCAATTATAAGCCTATGTATATACTGTATATAATGTAACATAACAAACAGCCCCCCAGCTCTTTCCCCTTAGATTAAGCAGCTGTGCACCCCTGTGCTTCAACTTCATCAATTACATGTTTTGAAAATAAGGTCTGAATTTTCTTGTTCCACACAAAACCAGAAGGGTATCTGTGGAGATTTACTGCCAGAACCATAACTGCCTCCGTGGACACACTTATTCCTTCCATCCTCATGGGGAATTAGAGCAGTATAGTTAAGCTGGTAAATTTTCCTATTCAGACAGGCTCAGACATCTCAAGAAACACAGCTAAATTAAATACTTCTCCTAGGGGAGCAGTATACATACATACATTCACTACATTCACCAGTTGTTGGTCATAACCACACACACACACACACCAGTCAAGTTTAAAACACAGCAACCTGCAATTTGCTACAAAGGTGTTTTCTTTCCTGCCACATTTTGTCAGCTCTCATTCATTCTGTAAATCACAGTTCAGCTTTGAGCACAGTGCTATTTGCAACCCTGGGCCCAATTTTTTGAGGTGAAAATCCAGTAGAGGAAAGACTACAATTTTTTTGCTCCCAGAAAACTGATGTCTGGCAATAGCACAGCAAAGTCATCAACAGTGCAGGAGGAAATATGGATAGTTGTCTACTGAGAGATATTTTGCCTCTTCTACAGGATTAAGATTGTTTTTCTGTAGAGATCCTACACTGCTGTTCACATAGGCATTGAATAGATAGGATTGGAGAAAAGGCATTGGATTAGATAGGCATTAGAAAAAAGGATTTTTTTTTTTCTTTCACACTAAATAAGTACTGAAAGGGTAACACTAGAAGAACAACAGAAGCTGCTTTAAAATTACTTTTTACACTCCATAATTTTAGAACATACTCTCAGGAGTGACATATAATCATAGAATTGCTCAGGTTGGAAACAATCTTAAAGATCACCAAGTCCAACTACAACCTAACTGTACTACCCTAACAACCCTCCGCTAAATCACATTCCCTGAGCACCACATCCAAATAGTTCTTAAACACATCCAGGGATGGTTACCCAAGCACCTCCCTTCCAGTGCTTAACAATCCTTTCTATAAAGAAGAAATCTCATTGTGATCTCAGTGTAATCCACAGGAACCTTTTAATTAGATTGTCTATTAAAATATAAGAAGGTATACAGAGTGCATACAGGCCCCTATTTTACCTGAAACCATGGCCAAAGTACTACTCAAAGTGAGTTTAAGTCATAAGTATCTTGACAAGAATAGGACTGTCCATGCTAGAACAGTCTTTCAAAAATCACATACAAATGTACACCTTGGTCTGATTCACCTGCTTGTATGAAGATCTCAAATCCTTGAAACAGGTGCTGGCAATTGCAGGCTTATCTGGTCATCAAGCTGTTGACTTCTGAAATCACCTTCTAGATGTCTGATGCTAAGGAAACTCCTGACTATCCATTTCCCTGTGTTAGATATACTGGCTTTTGTTAGACTTTTGCCATGCACCCGTCTAACTGTACATTTAAGATTTCAAAAAATATCTTAATTCCATCAAATAAAATCAAAATAATGCAAAAACACCTCAGATCCCAGCAGTTGCTCTCCTACATATTCTGAAAACCAAACAAAAAAAAGCCCCATAGAACAACTTCTACAATTTTATTTTTACACAACACTAGTTTGAACAATCACAATGGAAGTGCATAGTGGATATGTCTAGAACATTTCTAAAGCATCAAAAAATACTACTGTGAAAGAAAGTATTGAAATAACTACTTGTATTAGGATGGCAATTAGCAGGCTTCAACAAAGTCTGCAGTTGTTCCAAAAAATTCCTGTGCACTTAGTTTCATCAGATCATAATAACATGTTGGGCTTTGGTTTGCTTTTATGAGAATGACTGTAATTTCTCTTTATTCGAGGAAATTGGAAGAGGGTTGAACAGACAGTAAAGAGTTACCATTTTGGGAGACATTTTCTAGCTATATTAGACAAGTCACACATGCACGTTGCTCTTCCTCCTAATTATTTCTATGGAAATGACAACAGATACAAAGAACACAAAAACACTATTTGATGGAACAAATTCTCACCTACAAAACGCTATTTTCAACATAGTCACTACCATTAGCAGTGCATTTTCACTAGCAACGAGTAAGAGCCCACATGCCCTGCTCATGAGAATCTGTACCAGAGGAGGTGACTTACTATCACTGTTGCCACTGCTGAAATGCACCACCCATCACCTCACTGCACTCATACCCACTGTTTGGTCTCCAGAAACATTCAGCAAACATCAGTGAATGTCAGTAGGTGCAATTTTTTCCCTCAAGAGGGAATTAAATTCCATCCTTTGCTCCATATACACTTCCATCTCAGACACAACTTGTCAGAGTTCCCCTCTGCTGCCGTCACATGGCAACAAGATGTAACAACATATTAGCAGGAAGGTTCAACCTCCACTGGAATACCACCAACATCTGCCTCTGATGTCATGGGCATAATAAAATAGGAGATGTTACTTTTGGAGCAATCCCTAAACTTAATTAAGTCAAACAAGCAAAATAAAAATAAAGCAGAAACTAAGGATTAAAAGGGAGTTCAGAGTTTTGAGACTTAAACACTTAGAATTTCTCCTCAGTAAAGCAGTTCTGGCATAAACTGAAGACAGTTTATCTGTCTTGCCAGCAGCAAACTAGTAGAACTCTGTGGGTATCAAGCAAGTCATACTGAAGAAAAGCAACTTAGCAGCCTTCCTGCTCTTTGTCTGCAACTTGTTGATGCTCATTTTTAAACCAGTCAATTAAAACTGCATCCTTTTTAATTTCAGTATATAATTAATGAATATAAAGATGTTATAATTATGAACTTCACCAGAAAGTTTTGCTAAGCAGGTTATTATATCAAAAAGAGAATAGAGAGAGTGCTTACCCTTGTCCTGGGCTCACTGTAAAACTTCAGAGGAGGGATCTCCAGAAAAAGAACCTTCCCCACTGGTAGCCAGCTCTTAAATGGGCCTAGGAGAGGTGGAACCAAGCTCCACTCCTTCCGGCAGCACAGGTGAATTGCCTTCACTTGTGCTCCCAGAGCTGACTCATTGCTCACCTCAGGTGATCAATCAGAGGTTCAGGCCGTGATTTAGCAGTTCACATACATACAGATTAGCAACATTCAGCTTCACTAGTTTAGTAATAAGCAGCACTAAGTAAACACAGTCGATCAGTTGTGAAAATTAGACGTGATGTTTCAAAGCTATCCTGAGAAGTGCTGCTGCACATTCCATGAATATTGTCAATAGAGAACTTTTCTGCAGTTTATTAACTGCATTTGTAGTTGTCATAAAGGGACAGAATGACCATAAATCCCTGAATAGAGTATTTCACTTTCTGCTGCTGTAGCTAGGCATGTCATAATGAAATCAGCATTGCAGCTCATTGCAGACTAAGCATTTGCTCTTCTGTGGTGTGACTATGGTGAAGCATGTTCCCTCATCCACAGTTGTTGACAAGTGTTAATTTACCCAATTTAAATTTTGAGGGACAAGCTTTTTAGGAGGGGGACATCTGAGTGAGATGGATGCACAAAAGAAATGCCATAGAATTGCAAGCTTCCATCAGACGTGATGTGATCAACAGTCTTACATGCTACATATGTTCTATAAGCTAACAAATCTGTTAGATAGTTCTCTTAACATTCTCTTGTCACATTAAGAATCCACGGCACACCTGCTTTTACAAAGCTCTGTTATGCTCAGATGCCCCGAAGTACTACATTCAACAAAGATTTCTGAGATGTCCTTGAAATACTGGTGTGGGTGTAATGGTGACTAACTGCTCTGAATAACCCTTATTAGCTGTTCTCCAGTTTTGTTTGACTATAATATTTAATTATATGTCTGACACTTAACACTTCCAGGAAAAGAATTTACTGAACACTTGCATGGAAAATGATGGCTAAAATAATTTCTCTGCCTCCATGTAGGGGAATTTTTGATGTCCTGGAGCTGAACAATTTAAAAACACTTGTATGTAACACAATTATGTAATTACATCAACCTTTGGGCTCTGAAACTCTTCAGATTTAAATACCGCCTGACTTATTTGTGGTGTGAGTGTCCATCTCTACAATCCCTCCAAAAATATACCAAGACACAGTGAATCTGTTATCCTTTTATAAAATGTATTATCTTCTAGCCACCAATAAAATGGCAGTGTGAGAAAGGGTAGTGTTCGGTGTGTAATTAAAACTCCCACTTCAGCTATGTCACATTTGGTCTGAACTTTGTCTTTTTAGGTTATGAACTTACTGCAGAATGATCATGTTTTCTTGTTACTAAAGGTTGCAGTGGGATACAGTTTTTTTAATCAGAGATTGTTCTAAAATGAAAATATTTTCCTTTCCTTAAGAATTCATTCTTCTGGAGATCTAATTCTGCAGTTTATTCTACACAAGCAGTTATGAAGAAAAAGATGGATTGGAGTCTGATGAGAGAATGTGACATAGCATGTGGAAGGGGAGCACAGCACAGGAACAAAACCCAGAAAGTGCAGTTTCAGGAGCTATCACACGTGTTTGCTAACAGGCTATAAAGAACTATTAATAGAAAGACTTGTGCAGCCCCTGTTATTAGGTGGCAACATGCTCTGAGCCCAGTGGTAATGGAAGCATTGATAGCCTTATACTTGGTATTGAATGGCCCCATATTACTCTCTTTCAGGCTTCAGTTTTCCTCATTGTAAGGGAATGCTTTGATGAAAGGAGTAATAACTAGAAATAAAGGCATGCACAATTTATGTAGAAGTGGAGCTGTACTTGCTGGTTAACTTGCTGCTGTTTCTCTCAGTGTAGTTTCAAACAGGCCAAAGAGATATCTGTAGCAAATTTGGCTTTGCCATACCTGGGCACAAAGGCCAGTATCTTTTCAAGTGCTTCTGTGCTGTTGGTAACTGAAATAAAAACTCATGAGGCAAGAAAATAAGTGTAGAAATCTCTAGATAATCTAGAAACAAATACTGTTTCTACTGGAAGTCTTTGTACCTCAAAACTTGATATATAACATATGTTTAAGATTTTAATACATTTAAGAAATCAATTTAAGACACGTTTTCTAACATTTGTTGTATGAGAACAAGCAGTTCATGTTCTTCAGGTATAATAAGGAGTTGAAAGGATTGCATTAGACTTTGGTGAAAATCCTTATTCTTTTTCAAGATTACAATTAGCACAACACCTGCAGACACCCTACATACATTTTTGTCATTCAGAGCTGATACATACCGGATAGGAGCTCTTTACTTTTCTCACATTTTGTCCAGATTCAGTAGATCCATATGGCTTCAGCTGGGAGAACAGAACATACAGATTGCAGTCAAGTGTCCTTGAACATTTTACATCCTGAAATAAACTAATATTGACAACCACCCTTTATTACAGTCTCTTAACATAATAGTTCATAGCATACCTAAGAAACTGGATTTTCTGTCCTGCCTGACAGTAGATCTTGGATTAGTTCTTTTATCCTGTGATTTTCTGTGGTTAAGGAATTGATGTGAAAAGTTCAAATTTTCAGTAATAAGAGGCAAACAGTATCAAGTGTATCATAGTTCTTTTTGGGAATTATGTAAATAGATAAATAAACATATATGGAACAGGGTGAATCATGCTCTACTGACGACACTGACTCCAAAAAGAGGCACCATGCCCCAGATGTCATACCTATAGTACACAAAGATCAGGTTAGGGAAAATGAGCGCCTCATGCTCCTATGTACAGAATAAAAGATTTCTTAAGATTCTAAAATTTGCCTGCTTTCCGCAACTAGTTCCTTCTGGAGTCCTTTTGGCTATCCTTCACATTAATCCCTATGCTTATATACTCTCCATATTATCTGAAACTTTGCAAAGTCTCTTTGGAAACTCCATCTAGGTGAAAACTCTCCAGTATTCTTTGCTCTAGAGTGAAATAAGACATTCGGCTCAAGATGGTTTAATCTCTTTGTGAGTCTATGGAAAAGCATTGCTTGAAGTTTTTTCAAAGAGTTTTCATTTTTCTTTTTCCTTATAAGTGTTATTTTTCTTGGACAATTGCTTCAGCATTTCTGACATTCTTCAACACTTCACAAGGGGAAAATTAGCTATTTTCCACAACTGAATGAAATAGTTTCAGCTTTGCAGAATTCTTCCTTAACGTGGTTTTCTCCTTCACTGTCTCTGCAAACAATACTCTTGTGAATTGCTTCCTGTTTTGAACACAAGTTTGTGGACCAACTCCTTTTGTGCTTCTCATCTACTGAGTATTCTGGCCTTGGGACTAATGTAACATGTAATTCCCATCATGATGGTGGCCAATATCTGTCTTCTGGAAATGCAGCATCACTGGTGATTCATTCTGTTACCTTCTTATTAAGTACTAAGTGTTTATTAAGATAGGCTGATGAATTTAT